CATAATCTGTATTGAAAATTTTTATCACACACGAACTATCAAATTATGATTCGTTGCCCTAGAATTGAATAAACTTTCTAATTACACAATACGGGGTCATTCATTTGATTGAAGACTGATCTTTCTTTCTCTGAAATAATTATTTCCTTGTTAAAACATATTTGACCACATATTTCTGTCATTTAACTGTTCACTTTACTTCCGATTTTTGTTGTACCGAAACACATGTTTCTATTTGTGTTTTCTATTCGAATCTATGATCAGTTTAATGGGATCACCACCGGGTAAACGACTACTAGGTACTTTGGTCATGTTTTTTTACCCCAAATATTTGAATGTTTCTATTGGGATTAAAATGAGCGTAGATAACTTAAACTGCTGGTTGTATAAATCCCTGACCTGTCTAATTCTAATTATGAGATTAGTGGATATATTAAGACTTTCACTACAAAATATTCCTAAACAAAAGAGCACTTGTTTAAATTTATTCCTTTACAAATAAAAGATCAGAGTAGGGATCTGTCAATTGCCAGACATATTTTTAAAAGATACTTTTATGTTAAAAGTTTGATTAATGAATTATGTAAGATGAAAATATAAGAATTGCTTTGTTTTTTTTGCTAATATTAAATGTAATCTTGTGGTGAAATTTTGTCGGAGGGTCCTTACGGATTTTTGTAGTTAAATAGTTTTTTTTCGGCGATACATGGTTTAAGAATATAATGTTTTCAAACTATATGTTCATCACCATTAGTGAATTTTTAATTAAATGTATGCAACATATTTACTAACAGCTATATGATATAGCAGTTTATGAGCGTTTTCCGCGTACAGCCTCCTAAGGTGTACTAATAAGTTAGTTTTCCTTAGTTATCACGCAAGCATGATCCATGTATCTGATGTAAGCGACAGTTTACCATTATTTGTCTTAAAAAATATTAAGGACTATTAATGGTTTATAACAAAAAGAACATGCATGATATTGAGACTACGGTGTTGCAACGTTCTAGTTAATGACCCGTCATAAAACAGTTGGTCGCTGCGTAGTAATTGGAAAATTGTTATCAAAAATAATAAAGAATTTTTGCCACCTAATTAAAGCATTTCCTATAAATTTTCATTTATGCTTTTTGTTTAAAAAATATTGATAAAGTTATTATATAGAAGGGTTTTCATACCAGAACTATTTATTACCAACGTACGTATGCCTGAACCTGATTACCGCGGCAGTATGACGTCACGGAGTAGTGATTGTGAAAAAATAACAAACAAAAATCAAGAATTTTTCAGAGAATTATTATCTTTACAAATCGCAGATATGAAATAAAAGTTCATATTGTAAATGTCTGTGATGAGTGATGAGTCAGCTTAGAAAAAATCAAGGTACTATTTTTTGACCTGATTACCGCGGCAGTAAGATTTAACGGACGGTTATTAACATTGGGTCGGCATAGCCTCCCCAAAAATCATTGTGAAATGTTACTAAAGGGAAACCTACTGTTTTTCTTCGGAGGTTATTGCTTTACTTTCAGATGGACTCTTTACAGAGGTTGCACTGTATGACTAGGTTATTTCATCTTATTGAGGCGCTTTTAATGATTTCATTAACTATATGTATTTGTAATATGTGTTGTCTAATTCGCATTGCTGAACTATTGCAATGTTAAATAACTACATTTGATAATTAAGTTGTATTCTACATAAATACATCGTAAATTAAAAACACCTACGCCAGGAGTTTGTATCATTCAAAATAATCATATGACAATTGATTATAATACATACACGTGGCCTTAATTGTATATCATTTTACCATTTACATATAGAATAAGTAAAGTTATGATTTGTAAGGATATCCTAGATCCTCGAGATCTGTTTCTCGTGTCCATGGTGCAGCCTATTGACTTACAGACCTTAATTGACAATTAAGGTCAATTAAGGTCAATGATTGACAGTTATAAAACTCCAATAAATTTCTTAAGATTGTTTAATATCTAACAGGCTTTAAATCAATTATTACAACATTATTAAATGTACGTTTGACCTTTCTAGAGAATAAAAAAGATATTTATGAGACATAATGTACCTTAAAAGTACTGCAGTCTTCGCTTATAAATCTTTTCAATTCTTTCTTCCCACGGAACTATATGAGTTTTGTACATGTAGCTGATGACCATAAAAACAATGTCAGGTCTCATTTTGGTCAAGCAGAGGCGTTACTGAACTATTTTTATATGTACTCCTTAACGGGGGGGGGGGGGGGGGGCATACTCCCCTGAGTATTTTTTTGAAAGAGGAAGCGATATCCTGGCATTTCGTGACTACCTATATACTATATTGACAACATATTGGTGATGATTTCAAACTCTTTTTATTAATTTTAAAATTGTGTACGTTACCATAAAACTTTTTTTATTTTTATAATCATTTTTTTTTTGCAGCAAACGTTTGTGATTTTGCGACCTACAAACTGGTGTTATAGCAACAAATTTCCCGTATTCAGTAAACAACAAACGCTAGACGACTGTTTCGTTGGTATATGCAAACTTGTCTACTCGGCATTTACTACAGGCCTCAACAGACGGTAGGATTTAGTCCTACTACACTAATTAGAGATAAGATGTACAATTTTCAAAGCCATACAACACTACATCCAGACGATAATTCTGCATTGCAGGAATCATCTCAGGTTTCCCTAAAAAGAAGTTCCCTCCCAATTGATCCCTTACATACTTCACTCACTAAATAATTTTCTTTCTCCATGAGTAATGATTGAAACACCTCCATTTTTTATGGACCGAGACTCAAACCTGGGACCCTTGGAATACCGTACTGCGGATCTACTGACTGAGCTATCCGGCCGCCTACAAACTACCTCCCCTGATTAGAGAACAGTTCAATACCGTGACATAATCATTTTCGGAACAATTTGGGATTCGAACATAACACAACTTTGGGTCTCCTGAAGAGTTTTTCACCATCTTACTACTATGTTTACCTTTCAGCCGTAATTGTTCTGGAATTTCATTCATTACACCTATTATCAGGAGATAATTTGGTAATCTGTTACTTTTCATTGTGGGAGATTTGTAGAAATCTGTACAACAAGATTTTCAAAATAGAACATGTCCTATCCCTTACATCTAGACTTAAGGTTTCCGATTTCAAGAAATAGTAGCCTTCACACATTAAGATTTGTCTGTACATTTTAGTTTTAATTGGTGTTGTACTTCAAAATCCTACCGTCTGTTGAGGCCTTACCCTATCTTTTAAATATTGTAAACATTTATGAGGCCTAGACCAGACATACGCTCAGTCTACATCGTACGTATTTCTGGCGTTTTATTTCAGTTGTTGCCGTTGACAATGGCATGACCATTAAAACCGTCAAACAATGCCTCATGTTTGAGTACAGAGACTTGCTTCCTTTAAAAAAGCCGGGGCCGCTGAATGGCAATTGTCAAGTTTACGTTAGTCCACCACATAAGCCACAGCTAACACTGAGATTCTCGGACAAAGATGGGTTTATTCATATTTAAGCTTGCGTTAAATGCGAGGTACAATACCCCAATGCCCTATCAGGAAAGACCGTCATTCTGCACCTTCATAAGTAGCAACTGTTGGAACAATATATTAATTTAAGAATGATAATAGTGTGAAAATTGTAACTAAGTTCAGTGAATGTTTTGGCCTGTTGAATATTTAGTTACAATACAATATATAAAAACGCAAAGATATTTTAAAATCTCCTTTTAGAAATGTCAGTAAATTAATTAAAAATCGTTGCGTATAACATAGATTATATTGAGTTAAATATAGAACTCGCGTGAATACATTAAAGAATTCATTTAAGATTTTTGTGATAAACTAAATTCATTAGCAGATATACGACTTTAATATTAATGATGTAACTACCGGAGACTCGATCATCGATCGCAATGTTTTGCTGACCTCTCAACAACTTATTTAAGAACCTGGCGATTCTTTTGAATAAATGCATAAAATTGAGATGGAATTGTACACTCTGTATTTTTCTGCCTTTTCGGGACGGCCAAATTATTATATGCAGTAATCAATTGATTAATATGCCATAGGGAAATTACACCAATTGTCACTTGTTTTCTGATTAAAAGATGAGAACAAAAATCAAATATACAGAACGCAGCCCGCTGCAAAATCCAGCCACGCCATGCAGCAGCATCCAATCAAAAGCACAGGTGAACGTCGCGTGCATGGCCATGACACGCGACGTTCACCTTAAATTTGATCAAAAAGCAGAAGAGGACACAAATGGGCCGATACGGGAACGTTTGGCGGGCGACCTGCTCGCCGAATAAGAAGTACGGTGCACAAAACATGCCGCAACTGCTTGGCGAATATCTTGGCCGAGAATGGATTCTGATTAATTCCGGCACCTTAAGCTTTTCGTAACTTCCCTCCTCTGAATCTGTACAAGATATCGCACTATAGATATTTTTAAAAGATATTAATTTACACTACATATGTTATGAATTTTGTATATAATGATAACGTCGAAATAGTCAGTAGTACCCCGACCACACTACCCCTTCTGTTTTATCACTTTTTTAGAATTTTTTTTTTGAATACAGGATTGATTTGTACGCACGGGCGTACAGGAGTACGCCTGTAGTTATACGCACCGTTCTATTAGCTTTGAAGCGAAAAAAAGATTATAGAGGATTATGATAAATGGTATCGTTTAAAATTACCCTCACACCTACGCAATTGTAAGCTTGTATTTTAAGGGAGCACAATTCTAAAGTAGGGGCCTAAGACAATTTTTACCGAAAATTGACGAGAAGTGCCGAAAAATTACGATTGTTGACGGAAAGAGCCGGAAACTTGCGATTTTGGCAAATATGTCGTAAAATAGCTTCAAAAACAGAATTGTATTTTATCATCAAATTGTTGTATTTCAAACTTAATTGGTTCAATTCATTCATTTTTAAACATTAATTTATCTTTAATTCAAGAACACGTCAAAATAATTGTCGTAAAAATTATTATCGTAAACCAGAAACAGAAAGTCGGTGAAAAGAAAATTCCAGGCAAATTTCGTAACAAACACAATTTAAACATTTGTTGTAGTTCAGATTTCACTGTAAGTTATCTTATTTTTACAGTTTTGCTCTCCATGTTTTCTTTTAAAATATACAAATGTGTTAAGTTACATCGAGATACATCAACACTTGTTTAGAACGGATAAAAAATTTGACTGTTGAAGACCATTCAGTTTAAAAAAAGCAAAAATAAAGATCAACAAGGTAAAGGTAACGTTCACCGGACGCAGCTCCCCCGCTCACCAAAGTAGGGCACCCAGAAGTCACCAAACTAACCACAAGGGCGGCGAAAGGAGAGGGACATGTAATGTGTGAAATCATAAAAAACTAAAACGGGCCCATATGGGAATTAAAGGGATAAGGGTGAAAAGGGGAGGGGGTAAAAAAAGTGGGAGGGGGGTGTGAGAAAATTACTACAATAAACGACAATCCAACAAGGCAGACATCACAAAACATGTTCAAAAACAAGTCACAATACAGACATGAAAACATGTGAAGGTACACAGATGGGTACCGCCTTATGGGGAACGGTCAGTGGTAGTTAAACCACTGCTGAATTTAAACCGGTTTTAGGCGCTCTAAACTTAAAATATTTATCAGAAGTTCACAAATTTATCTGAATCATCAATGTTACGAAATTTAACCTATTGTTCGTTTTTTATACACAGTGTTTCTCCCAATTAGTTTAAAGGTTCTTAATCTGTTAACAAAGTACCTATGGTATGACTTGGGTGGCGCGATAGCTCAGTTGGTTAGACCACTGATTATCACTCCTGATGTCTTGGGTTCGATCCTGGGTTACACTCTTGGGTTTTTTCAGAGACACTTTCAGTGTTTCCCACCTACCTAGAGTTGTACTGGTAAAAAATACAGGTAATCGTCGCATGTATCAGTGCTATACATTGGGCATGTAAAAGAACCAAGGGGTCCAGGCTTCGTGAAAGTTGCCCGACTGTCGGACATGTCCGGCAAAAATCAGGTCGGTCCGATATTTTTTTTCCGAGTTCCGGACCTTATGTCCGGTACGAATACCGGGATATATCCAAGACCGATCAAGACCAAGTTTTCTCCCTTGAATAAAAAAAATGTAAAACAAGTTTTGATTCGCCGTTTCATTATAAGTGTCCAATCAAATTCTAGATACATACGACTTTCAATGAACTTGTACTTAGAAGAAAATGTCGGTGTTACTGCATTATTGCTATGGCGCTACGCCAGGCAAAAAAACGTAAATTATCTCAGGGCTCATCCTGGGGGAAAATTTTAGGGAGAAGTGACTTCCTCGCGAAAAATAGGGAGAAGGGAAACAACCCAATGTGTGTGAATTAACATGCATGGCTATACATCCTTTAACTACAATATAAACACAATTAATCTATTTATCAGCTATTTATAAGCTTTCTTTAAATATTTGTTTATATATTTTCATGTAGATTTATTGATAATAATGTGTAAGAAAAAATATGGTGAATAAATTCATTTTATATTTTTACTTGCCTCACTTTTAATAGAAGATAAAGTTACATTGGATATTGATTAACAAAATCTGTCAATTCTGTTCTGATTAGAGAAATTCTTTTATGATCTTGTATGTATGTATATTGTTAATGTTTTTTTTTGTTGTAATGTCACATTTATGTGCATATAATTATGCTTATAAAACAATTTTCAAACATCGAAGAATATGTAAAATATGTACTGCAAACAATTGTGCACATTATATTTGATCACTAAAATTATATACATTCATTTCTTATTGAAAAATTTGACTAAGAAATGGTAGAAAATAAATTTCTAATCACCTCCCTTTATTTTCATGAAATGTTTAACTAGTAATATCTTTATAAATAATGCTTTTTGAAATTTACAATATTGATAAATCTTTATCTGAGTGTCATGTTTATGACATTAAAACAAATATATATATTGAAACAATAAAAACACTTCTTTCCTGACAAATTTTGTTGTTACATACATGTACACATGATATACGACCGATATGTAACATGCCGATCATGATTCGTAGTTTTTCCGGGATGTCGTGCCCACATGCGTAAGGCGTAAGCTGTGTCAAATTTGGCATTTTTGCAAAGATAACAATGCCAAACACTCTCACTGTCTACAACATACCAATCGTAAGATTTTTGCGAATTGGCTTTCTTAAATTTTCGCGTAGGTGTATCAAGGTTTGGGCAATTCACCCTGTAGCCGTGACATGAGCGACATAACAATTTTTAATTGATGTTAACGGACTGAAATCATTCAAAACTATGATTTAGTTTTTAATCCGGTCGCTGATAATTAATGAAATTGATTATTTTTAATTGACTAACAGTTTTGTGATAGCCGTGAAAAACCCATCGCACATCGCCATTACTCGGGTTAAACACAGCGTGTATATCAATAAGGGAAGATTTGCACGTGTTTAGATGATCGGGGAAAAAACAATCTAAATTATCGCCTAATCCCGTATTAAACTCGAAAAACTGTCACACAATTATACCCGTTTCGGGCCGACGCTCTCATTATTTACTGTTTACAGTAGGCGGTCTATCGCTTTGCATACAGCCTACAGGTAGAAGGGTAGTATAAAGCGACGCTCTGATTGGATAATGATAATTAGCAGTCGTCATATGGGCGGATACAATCTCTGCTCTTTACATCGCCAAGTAATTACTCTTTGGGAATTAAGATTTTATCGGCGATGTTGACTTCTCTTTGATCAATTGGGAGAGCGAAATGGAAATATACACGGCGAAGTTTTCGCCTGAATCGCCCTTCCGGATGAGCCCTGTATCTAATGAAGAAAAAAAAGCGAATCAATAGGCTATGTCTTTAAAAAAAAACACAAAGGTATTACCATATACATATATTTGGGGAAAAAATCGGTCAGACAAACGTTCTTTCGGTCAGACAAGAATTGAAAGTTTGTCTGACCGAATGTCAGGCAAATTTTTCAGCAGTTTCGGGAAGCCTGGGGGTCTATTCAATAAGAGCTAGGGACTGGTTCCCGGATTCCCTTGATTCTCATAGCTGTCTCTTTAATGTATACAATGTATACCTGCTTAGAGTAATCGTAAATGATTTTAAAGCAGTATGTTGTACATGTATGTGTATCATTGCTGCTCGAAATGTGTGCCTGTCACAGAGTAAGGCATGAGTATCGCTCAGAAAAAAAGTATCACAATAATTGCGATACATAGATCCCACATATCATGATAAATGTTTATACGTATTTTATTTCATGCTTTCCAGTGTTTTATTGCAATATATCAGATGATTATATTCTGATAAACAACTAGTGAAATTTATAAGATATAATTTTCACTGTACTCAGAATATATCTGAATGCAGATGAAAAGAAAATCATAACTAAATGTAATAACAGGCAGAAATAATTGTTGTCATACTTAGAATTTGCTTCTTTAGAAAAAGAAAGTCGATGTCATCATACATCTTATTAAAATGTAACAAAAATAGAGATATTTAACAGAACAATATTTCAAAATTGATGATGTGACGTCATGATGTGATGACGTCACAAAGGAGAATGCGCGGCGTTACGCGGCAAAATCAGTAAAAAATATACCTAAAATCTCTTAAAAAGCATGAAATAAAAAGAAAATTTATTTGTTTTACATATAAGATTGAAATATATTTCATTCGTGAATACCAGCTATTCTATTTTCACTCGTGGCTTCACCATTCATGAAAATATTGCATCTGGTGTTCACTCAGTGAAATTATATTTCAATCTTACATGCAAAACAAACAAATATCCTCTATATAATTTTATATAAACTTAGGGGATTTCCGAAAATAAAAAAAGTTGGTAGTGCCAACACTATTCTAAATAGTTTTATCAACATAATGTGCAGCATGCTTCAGTTTTAATGATATTTTTGTCATTTCTATAGATGCTTCACTTGAAAGAATGTCCAAATGTCACTTTTTGTTTCTTATAAATTTGTATTCATCCTCCACTTCAACAATGGTCAGTGCCATGTTTTAAAATGGAAAGTAAAAATGCCATACTTTCTAACAACATGTTCTACATCTTAGGAAATTACACTCTGTTAGTATTTTAAATGAAACATTTATTCATCTTTAATAATTAATTGATAACTTATGATGTCCTTTAAGAGGAAAATGAAATAATTAAAAAAAAAAAACAAAAAAAAAACGATTCAGACCGATACATATCATACCCGGACTTAATTTTCATACTGCGGTAATGTTGTGAGCTGGTGAAACGTTGCACCCCTAACTAGAGTCCACACTATTTATGTTGCTAAGTCTTGTCAGATATTCCCTAGGAAAGAAAACAAAGAAATTTAAAAAATTGGGATTGAAAATGATGTTTTTTTCCCAGTCTTAACTCTTTATGTTTTTTTTTTATGATTCAACAACAGTAAACCTTGAAATTACTAAAAATAAACATGCAATTAAGATATTAATAAAAGTACTATCATTGGAAACTATATTTTTTTGATACTTTTATTTTATGTGTTTAGTTTCTTTAGTTACTGTAAATTTCCTGATCTGTAAAACACTTTTTTTCCCTATAAGTGGGGTGGATCCATGCTGGTCGCAAACGCATTACGTTGGTTTTGTCATGATGCGGCTCATTTTATACTAGACATACCTAATCTATATCTTTGTTAAGAATCAAATTTTTCTTTTTTTTTTCAAGATTATAACAGAAGTAAAGGCTACAAGTGGATGAAATAAAGTAAAGAAGTCCAATATGTTGGATGTTACAGTGAAAACTTTGGATGGCCAAAATAGAAGTTTCAGTGTTCCTGAAAACGTAAGTTAGCAATAGCATCTTAATTATGTCATAAGTGACAAAAGTAAATCTTTGAATGAAATCTGTATATTTTTCATCATATTTTAAAATTATTATTAAAAAAATCTTATCTTTAAATAATGATTATTTTCTGTGTTTGTTTGATTATGTTGGAATACTTGTCATAATAAAAAGATATTCTGTGACAGTGTGGCTGTAGTATTGCTATCAGACATGTTAGACTAACTACTATATGCATACATTTTTCTGTTTGTATTATTTACGATTGAATTACAGCTCGAAACTGTATTTGTGAATGTTCTGAAATTTATAGCTCTGCTTTTAATCTAATTTCAGACTACAGTTCGCCAGTTTAAGGAGAAAATTTCAAACTCAATTGTAAGTATCTGTTTTGTTTAAATGAAATTTATGAAAGGGAACTCAGATTGTGAAATAAAAAAAGAGAAATGAGTTGATGGATCCTTTTCAATGTTTTGAAAATTAAGCATGATAAATCTGCATTTATACAATAATTACATGAATAATTGAATTCCTGATTGTGTCTATTGCCATTACATAGTAACTTATGATCTCTAGAAAATCTAGTGTATCTAATTCTGCTAACCTGACCTACACTAATATACTTTAAGATTGCTGACCCTTAATATTATATTAAGATATAAAGATACCAGCTTGAAACTTTATATGTGGACTGATCTAATTTACGAGTAGTCCAACTAATTAGACTGTAAAATGAGTCAAACCGTTCATGTCAAATTGATTAGGCTAATTTAGGAGGAGTGCATTGCTCAAGTATAATTACTGATTACTTCATTGATTCATTTGAGTTATTGCCTTTTGTTTTTTTTCTTCCATATTCTTTGTCCATGACTCATAATGTTTTGAGATATTTATTCGAGGATAGATCATTGTAAGAAAGAAGGCATTTGACAAGAAAGACATCTTTCAACATATTCGATCATTTTCAAAGAAAAAGTCCGGCCATTATGATTTTGTTTGCTGCCGTGTAGTCATCATGCAAAATGTTTGAACTAGTTAATTATTCAAACCTTTCAAAAGATGTCGAATACTTGCTTATGATGACAAGATGCAGTTGTTAGACAAGGGGCATAAGTCAGAAAGCAATATTTTTGGAGTTATGCCCCTTTTTAACTTAGAACAGACAAGCTTTAACACTACATGTGGTGCACTTGTTTTTGTTAATTTTTCTATCAAAATTGGGATTATTTCAAATAAAATGTGCAACATTTACATAATAATTTTACTATATATTTAGAGCATACTACCCGACACACAACGATTGATATTTCAAGGTCGTGTTCTACAAGATGATAAACTATTGAAAGATTATGGTAAGATTTGATATATTGATTTATTATTTCTATATCCATAGTTCTAAATATCATTAAGTCTTTGTAATGAGAGAAAATGTCCAGAATTTATACAGAGATAATCTAGAATATATATGACTTAATTTTAACGTGTTGTGATGACATATTAAAGTCTTCTTGCTTGAAATCCTTTGAATTATAAGTTGTATGATCCAGTAGTTTAAATTTTTACATGTATGACAGGATACTTATTCCATTCTCTTTAAAAGTAAAATTATTGAGGTAAAATTAAAATATTTATTTTTCATATAAGGAATGATTAGGTAGGGTGACTATGATTATTTTTGCATGTTTGGAATCAAACAAATTGTATAGGGAAAAATAAGGTAAACCTGTTTTATTGATAGCAATAAGTTGTATTTCTATTTAATTTGTTCACTCTATGCATTTTGTCCGTCTGTATGCATTAACGGTATGTTATTATTTTCAGATGTTCATGGAAAAGTCGTTCACGTTGTTTTGCGGCCGCCACCAGGCAGTGGGAGACCAGCGGGCAATGACAACCACCAGCCAAGCACGGCACCTCCAGGACGCGACGTAAACAGTGTGGTGGTAGGCTCCTTCAGTCTTCCCTCAGATATCATTGACACAAATATGGTACAGGTATACACATGTAAAATGGTTCAACAATGTAGACACTCTCCCACATATACTGGAGTGTATAGTTATAGAAAAAATATGGATAGGTGATAGGCTTATGTTGTTGAATAAACCCAATTGTCTGCATGTGTCAGTCTAATGTTCAGAAGAGCAGCATGGTTTATACAGTACAGTAAAATTGACATGTTGCCAAAAGACTTTACCAATTTAAATGTGACATAAAACTCCTAACTAACTTCAAAGAAAAATTTACTGGGAGAAACAGATGGAAACTGGTCACATCCAAGGTTTCTCTCTGACTTATTCATAGATTGCCATACAGTCTCTTTGTCATATTTTGATTACAGTTTTTATGTAACTGAAAATCACGATTTTACTGTGTAATCCAGGACTCCCTGTATTTCTGAACTTTAATCCTTTAAGTTTGATTTATGAAGCAATATCAGCTATAGATATTTTGATACTGTGTTTTCAGAATATAGCCCAAGAAGCAATACGTAGTATGGGAGACATGGGAAGAAATGCACGAGTCTCAACAAGAACATCAGTATGTCGCCTTATATAAGTTCAAAATTAGTTTGTTTTAATTTATTTTAGTTTGATTGTGTTGGAAGTTATAAGCCTATTTAAACACTCTAACCAACCAGTACTAAGCAGTGAGTGTAAAGTTTCTTGCTCAAGGAAAAAACAGCTTGCCTTTGACGGGGTTTGAATTCACTTTGCCAGCAATCCTTAAATACCTAGTCCGACACGTAGACCACTGGGCCATTCCACTACACATAAAAATTTCAAAATTGAAACTATAATGTCATACTTATATAAACAATCTTGTAACTATAGAGAACTTTTTTTCTTATTTGCAAATGTGATGACAATTTTGTCTGCCTTAACCAGATATAAAATATATGTAATATATAATAGATGTAAAATAGCTCAAGGTATTATAGAGTAAAAGAATGTGTTTGTTTGAGCAATGTAAATTCTAATTTTAGCCGGATGGCTCAGCTGTAGATGTACACATACATTTAGGCCCTGTACAAACTGGAGCAACAGTCAGCGAGGCCCAGATGAGGTTAAACACAGCTCGACAGATGATGAGACTAGCAACAGAGGCCCTTAATCAACTTGAAGTAATATATTGTTATTGTAGTGATTTTAGATTTATTATTCTGATTATCTTTCTTTTGGTGTTGGTTAATAAGTCACACCATTAATTTCATGAACAAGTGATGATGTTGACCATTAATTTCATGGTCATATGATTACGTTCCAGGTTTACCTGTAAAGAAAGTCTTAGATGCCCCGTCATGGATGCATTATTTTGGGCATGAGGTGGCTCCTAAGTAAAATCACCAATCTTTCATTAGCTTGTTGAATAGCTTCCTCACATGAATGAATACAAAGTCCTTAGCAAGCATCTAGCCTACAGAGTTGAGGGTCAATGATTTGAAGTCAACAATATAACCCCTCTTTAATGAAGGGCCTAATAAAATACTTATGTTTTATGAGCTCATCATGTTTTGATTTTGTTTTTACTTTAAAAGGCTTCTTTGATTTGAATTACTTATTCTTTATAATCTTAAATGCTGTGTGTTTTTTTGCCCCCACGTTAGTGGCGGGCATTTAGATTTACCCTTGTCTGTCCGTCCGTCCGTTCACTTTTGTGTCGCACGTAACTCAAAAAGTATTTGACCTAGAGTCATGAAACTTTACAGGAATGTTGATCAGCATGTGTTGTTGTGCACCTGGGTATTTTCGTCTGGATATTTTTAGTATTTTCAGAGTTATTGCCCTTGACTTAGTTAAATTTTTCAATTTTCAACTTGTGTCGCATGTAACTCAAAAAGTATTTGACCTAGAGTCATGAAACTTTACAGGAATGTTGATCAGCATGTGTAGTTGTGCACCTGGGTATTTTCGTCTGGATATTTTTAGTATTTTCAGAGTTATTGCCCTTGACTTAGTAAAATTTTGCAATTTTCAACTTGTGTCGCATGTAACTCAATAAATATTTGACTTAGAGTCATGAAACTTTACAGGAATGTTGATCAGCATGTGTAGTTGTGCACCTGGGTATTTTCGTTTGGATATTTTAAGTATTTTCAGAGTTATTACCCTTGACTTAGTAAAATATTGCAATTTTCAACTTGTGTCGCATGTAACTCAAAAAGTATTTGACCTAGAGTCATTAAACTTAACAGGAATGTTGATCAGCATTTGTAGTTGTGCACCTGGGTATTTTCGTTTGGAAATTTTCATTATTTTCAGAGTTATTGCCCTTGACTTAGTAAAATTTTGCAATTTTCAACATGTGTCGCAGGTAACTCAAAAAGTATTTGACCTAGAGTCATGTTACTTTACAGGAATATTGATTAGCATGTGCAGTTGTGCACCAGGTATTTTCGTCTGGATTTATTTAGTATTTTTAGAGTTATTGCCCTTCACTTAGAAAATTTTTTGCAATTTTCAACTTGTGTCGCAAGTTTCTCAAAAAGGATTTGACATAGTCATTTAACCTATAGGCAGGTTGCTCAGCATATTTCAGATTTGCACCTAGGGTTTTGCTTGTGGATTTATCCAGTATTTGTAGAGTAACTTCCCTTGACTTAGTAAAAAGATTGACAGAACAGTGGCGCGGTGGGGGCACCCGTGTCCTATGGACACATTTCTAGTTTAGCCTTATAAGTTCATCAGCTATAGTCCTGGAAATCAGTTATTATTTAACAAGACAAAATGCTGAAATGTTGTTATTTAAGACCAGATAAAGTATTGGTCTAGGTTATTAAACAATACAAGTGGTGTCTTTTTCAATTAGCACAGTACTTGTTTGTAGTTACGGCCATTGTGTGTATTGAAGTTACCATCACTGTGTGTATAAGCTTGCATTTCTCAATGTGCCGAGTCGATATATAAAATGTGTTTTGTTTTGAAACAACAGAATCCTGAGGGAACAAACAACACTGCATCCAACACACAGACAGCAAACACAGAACCAGTCCCTGCAGCAGGAAGTAGTGGAGCGCAGGAAACACAGAGAGACACAGAGAAACAGTCTGTTCCATCTCCTATGGATACATCTGATACCAGTGGTAACAACTTGTATTTTGATTTCCACAAAAGTTCCAATGTGTGATAAATTTGGGATTACTTTTGTTAAAATTGCATATATTTTTCACAGAAATCTTTGGTTTTTTGGCTTAACCAAGTGGTTAACAAAAGAATTGCAGCTTTCAGACCCTACTTAGCCAACAACTCTTGTACATTGTATACAGATAACATCAAAAATTGCTACGGACGTCTCAGAAGATGGGCTTTGTCACTACAAGGCTACAACTTCCAGATTCAACACAATGCATCATCTGCTAATGGTAATGTTGGTGGATTCTCATGTCGCATCTATGACTTATTTGCAGACAACCATAGTTCTATTCAAGAGTCTAAAACCAAAGATTCATTGCAAAATAACCACTAAATGATGATTAAAATAATTTTCACAGACACACATGTTGTATGTATTGTATTTGATCATCTCTTGTCATGATTTACAGTTTGTATAATGTATAAATCCAGAACCTAGTAGCAGTCAAACAGGTGGAGCCACACCATCAAGTACAGAACCAGGGTCTACACAAGGCTCTGCAAGGAGCAGCCCAACAGCCAATCAGGGCACAGAAACATCCTCAACTGACCAATCAAATAGTACACAGCAACAAAATGGCAGTCAGCAGCCACGTGGCCCAGTGTATGTCCTTACATTTTTTATATAATTTATGTCCATCACATTTTAGTTTGAATCTTTAATTTTTGTGTATAAATCATTCATGGTAAGTTTTAAGTTCTCCTGTCCAAAAAGGAAGGTAGTACCCATGCATTTTGTACATCCATCTTTAATTTAGATATGTTTAGACTGCTTTTTGCATAAGGAATGAAGGTTTGAGTCTGCGATTTTACAAAAAATAGCTAAAAGATATATTTTAATATTTTAATTGAAAAAAATGACTATATGTTAATATATTTACATTTCTTGCTAAGAACTTAATCATCTAAAACTAATAGCCACATATAAAATGTATTTAAATTTCCCTGTATGATTTCTTGTATAATTTTGTTAATATTGTTTTAAACAAATTATTACAGAAGGCCTAACGTGAGTGCATTAGGTGAGGTGTTGGTAGAAGTGAACGAATTAAACAGAAGATTACAGCCACATATAGAACGATTTACTAGAATTGTTCAAGATGATGGAGAAATGAATGAAAATGTAAGAGTTTTCTGACAATTTCTTTAAAGATTCAAGTGTGCAATTAGTCTTTTACTGTTATATTATCATTTATTAAGTTAATGATAGCACTAATTGTAATAGGTGTATACCACTGGCATTGTGCCAGACTAGCTAACACATAACTTCATTGTGATGAGTCTGAAGTGGTCAGTTACTTTATTTTAATTGTTAGAGTGTGCTGTTACCTTCTTTAAAGTGATATTATGCCCTTCCAAGGGTATATAGTGAGTGAACGGGTGAAGATCAAAATAAGTTTTCATTTTGCAATAGTTCCTTTTAATTTAATAATTAAGTTCGCATAAAAAATAAATAACACACAGATCCAAACAAAATTTTTGTAAATATCCATTAGAATTTACCTATAGCGCTTAGTTTATAAAAAAGAGTGCGGCAGTCTTTTTATATTTTAGGCAGATTTATAATTTTATCCTTAACATTTTCCAATATCCACTGTTGGTCAAACACCATTTTGACAGTCAATCTTTTGAAATTTAAAGTCAATTCAGCTCAACTTGACTATGAAAATATGAGCATAATGTCACTTTAACTCTTGAAAATTTCAAATGTAGCAATGTCACCATGTAGCAAAATAATCATGTGATAATTTTTACTGGATACAAGCCATTTGTCATTTTTTCTAAATGGGAATGTTACAGTATCTCAGTGCTAAAAACTTTGACTTGTACCAAGTGCTACAGGTTGACACTTAAACTCCTGTAAATGAAAGATTTTTGAGAGAGTTACTTATTTTATGGGTGAAATTCAGGATTAAGCCCCATAGTTATGGCAGGATTTTTCCCCACAGTAATGCAGCACAAGTGATTTAAAAATAATGAAAAAAGTTGCTTTAACCATTTGGTCTTAGAAGCTCCCTAATTTGTATATTTACAGTCATTTGTGTTTATATAGAATATATCATTACCTTAATGCAGTAACAATTCACTCCTTATATGATTGTATAGGAGTTAACCTATTGTTGCATTTTAGATAACAATATGTCATATAATATTGTATATATGGTTGTTATCTTTGTTTTAATTTTTCAGAAGATTGTATATTGTCACATAAGTGCAGTAACAGGTTAACTCCTTATATTATTTTTATTGGAATTAACCTATTACTGCACTAAGGTGACAATATGTACCGTATATTATAGGAGCAACGAGAGAACCAGAGGGTTTGTAACATGGTACCGGAAGCAATGCATGCGGTCAGTCACGCTTATCACGCAATCAGTGACCTGATGGTAGACCTGGGACAGAACCGACCACGACAGTTATACGTGACCCTTGCCATTGCTCAACCTCACACAGCTGTCATTCAACAGGCTATACCTGTACAGGTATGTCATGATTTAGACTCCTATTCTCATTTTATTTTCTTTCTTATATTGAAAATATACATGTGTATATAGCAGACTCTTTGCAAAAAGGATTTAACCATATGAAATAAAAGAGATTTAACATTTCTGTACTAAGTGAAAAATATAGACTAATGATACATGTATATTCTTTCAATCTTTGTCAAAATTGAGAGTAATAATATTTGATGGTACCTATATAAACATGGAACAAAATCTGTTTGACTATGCTGAATATGTGAATATGGTAAGAATATTATATATTAATGGCACATGCAGATCACTGTGCTATAGAGTAAAATTGTCTGTACATACGTATTTTTGACTTAGAGTGAATCATTAATGATTAAAATGATACAGGTAGATGCACATGTTGTACCTGTATTTGAAAACAAAAAAGGCTGCAAAGTTGTATTCAATCAGTTAAAGTTTGTTATTTTAGACTTAAAATGTTGGTAAAATTTGCCAATAGTCATGATTGGTAATTTTTTTTTAATTGGTTTTAGGCTCGACTTTTCTATGAAAAGGGGAGCTATCCTACTCGCCCCGGCGTCGGCGTTGGCGTCACACCTTGGTTAAGTTTTTCGTACCACCCCACTTTATTTCAGAAGTATTACAAGTATGGCTTTGAAACTTACCATACTTGTTCACCATCATAACCTCCATCTACAGACAAGAGTACATAACTCTGTCAAGGTTTTTGACAGAATTATGGCCCTTTTTTGACTTAGAAAGTGTATTGAGCTTGGTTAAGTTTTTTGTACCACCTCACTTTATTTCAAAACCATTGGAGGTATTGCTTTGAAACTGACCATACTTGTTTACCATCACGACCTTCATCAACAGACAAGAGGACATAACTCTGTCAAGGTTTTTGACAGAATTATGCCCCTTTTTGACTTAGAAAATACATTGAATATGGGTAAAATCCACTTATTGCCTTAACCCTTTGAGATATTGCTTTGAAACTTTTAATGCTATTTCACATCATTACCCCCATCTGTACGCAAGAGAAGGTAACTCTGTCAAGGATTTGTTTTAAAAATTAAGGCCTTTTATCGACTTAGAATCTTGGTTAAGTTTTTAGTACCAGTCCACTTTTTGACTGAACTGTTTGAGATATTAATTTGAAAGTTGGAATACTTGTTTACAATCATGATTCCCAAACATGTCCAGGAGAAGGTAATTCTGTCAAAGATTTTATTTGAATTATGGCCCTTAACTGTCAATGTTTTGTATTATAGGCAAGCACTAAAAAACTTAAAAAATCTAAAAAAATTCATTCCTATCCACTGAACCTGCAGTGTTCAAGGGTATCACACAATTCAGTAAAATAATTCTTCACTAAATATCTTAATGCTCATGGCCATTGTTCACTTTAAAAATACAGAGATTCTTGTATTGCCTTTTACTGCAAAAACTTTTTTTATTGGCAAGCAATAAAAAAGTCGAGCGCGCTGTCTTACGGACAGCTCTTGTTAAGTCCCCAAATGATGTCTTTTTTGTTGTTTTTTTTTTAACATGAAAACTTCTCTTCAAGTTGTATTGCTTTTGTATACATAACTATATATGCCTTTGAGATGTACTGTTTTTTTGTGTACATGAATGTTTAGGTATAAGTGGTACCTTATTTGTTTACATGAATGCTTAAGTCTTTGACTTGTACTGTTTTTCTTTACATTAACTTTTAAGCCTTTAGGCTAATACACATATATGTTTTTGTTAAGTTTATAGATATACATATATAGGTTGAGGTTTATTTTTAGGCTCAGATACAAGTTGGGGGCAGTCCACGATTAATTCGCCGCCAATTTGCTGCTAACAGAGCCTCACAGGTGCCCACAAACACAACTCAGGCACCCTCAGTAAGAATTGTTAATAGATGTTACTGTAATACTGTGTAATCATGTGGGCAAGAAAATTTGTTCTGATCAAAGCCTGTTAGAGGCCTGACAGAAATGAAAATTCTGATCAATATTTTTTATGAAATCAGTTGTTTACAAAATATTACACTGTAATTATAAATATGTTACAAATTATGTATCAAGGTAAGGTTTCATAGTGTAAGGTTACATAGAACATGCACAATGAGATATCATTTAACATATCATATTTAAAACATAGATAAATTTGTTGGATGGGCATGTGTAGCCTTAAAACAGTCTGTCAGAAAGTATTGAAGATTTTAATATCAAAGTACTGGAATTGTGTTACCAGTATACAGTTTTGTGCCTGGTAGGACTTGTCTGATTCTATCCTGGTAGTGTAGGTTTGTAATTAGCTTTCAATTGTTAAAGAAATATTTTGTATATACAATATGATTTTCTGTGAACTCTTTTTACCTAGAAGTCACCTAGTCCCTTTTTCTCTAAAAATTTACCTAAACATACATATAAGCTGCAAGGAATAATAGTCTTGTTTTTGCTTAGGTTTTTATTGAAGCATTCTTGTTTATTAGCCAATTATGACTTGAACTTTAGAGATTTATTTTAGGCTTCATGTTTATTTCAAGTAGATGTTTGCAAAAAAGCCTATACCCTCTAAATTGTTTATACACCCAGTGGGTCAGCTATCCATCTGTTAGCAAAGTCATTTCATTAAGATGTTTTTTAGAGTCCCCAACTTTTAGTCATTGAGGTAGTGTGATGAACCCACATTTCAGGCGCACTGAAGTTGAGCAATTTTCGGTAAAATCTTTTGAATGAGTGTCTTTTTTCCCCAAATAACATATATGAACAGTATGGAATCAAACATGTTTCTTGTTGTAATCCTATCACACATGAAATTACTTTGAATTAAATACTGTGCCTTGAAAGAAAATCTGTATAAAGAAAAGTGGTCTCTAAAGACTACCATTACACCTTAGCATTTGAACGCTTAATAGGGTTGAAATTCTTGGTTTGAAATTACCTGTCATGAAATACCACTTTCTCAAAACTAACTGTAGCTATTGTATGTACTACTAACTGTAACTTTTGTTTGTACTGCTGCTTGTAGCTATTGTTTTTACTACAGCTTGTAGCCATTGTTTGTACTACTGGCTGTAGCTATTGTTTGTACTACAGCCTGTAGCTATTGTTTGTACTACTGGCTGTAGCTATTGTTTGTACTACTGCGTGTAGCTATTGTTTGTACTACTGGCTGTAGCTATTGTTTGTACTACAGCCTGTAGCTATTGTTTGTACTACAGCTTGTAGCTATTGTTTGTACTACAGCCTGTAGCTATTGTTTGTACTACAGCCTGTAGCTATTGTTTGTACTACAGCCTGTAGCTATTGTTTGTACTACAGCCTGTAGCTATTGTTTGTACTACTGGCTGTAGCTATTGTTTGTACTACTGCATGTAGCTATTGTTTGTACTACTGGCTGTAGCTATTGTTTGCAGCCAGCTGTTGTTTGTATCTTGTATTAGATTTGTCCTTAAGTATTGTAAATATAATTTGTATTTCAATCCCCCCCACCTGTAATTGGCTGTATATTAAATATTAATTGTTTTGCTTTAATGTATGCCTGCCTCATTTTATTAAAGTTTTTCATGGTTAAGTTTGATTGGTAACTTATTTGTTGTTGTAGGTGGCGGTTCCAAGCTCAGTTAGTGGACTAGCATCCTCTACTACAACTACTGGAACCAGCACTGGTCCACAGCCAGCTACAGTTACAACAGGTACCCAGTCAAATGAAGCCGCCGGAACTCAGCCACCTACCAGCAGTTTTGGTGCCCAGCATGATGCTGGAATAAGTAATGAAGAAATGCAGAGAATCACACAACAGATGTCAGCTGGGCTTCAGAATGTTCTTGGACAGGTAAATCTCTTGTTATATTACAGGAATGTAAATAAATTTCCAATTCTGTAACATTATTTTGATGAAAGTATTTTTGTTTAGAAAGAAAGTAAAGTGTTGTAAAAATCCATTTTTTTGTAGTGAATTTTTGGCTAATTTTCAGTGTTGGACAGGTAACATTTAAATTCTTTGAATACTTACAACAAAAATGATTTGCTGAGGTAATATTATAGATGGTCTGTCTTAGCATCCATGCAATCTGAATTTTTAATCTCAAATTTTTTAAGCAAGCTTTGTCAGTTACAGTAGAATACTTAAAAATTTGTATAGTCAAAATTTATGCTTTATGTCCAAAAAAGTATTTTTCTTTTTCATGTACATATGACTATGCACCATCAAAATGTAGAAATTTGAAAGTGTTGCTGAATATAAAAAGATATTTGCAATTTCTGGCTAGCTTAGTTATTCATGATAACTATGAATTTACAAAGAAAGTGATTCACGAATATTATCTAAAATTAATGCAACATTAATTAACCAGTTTTAAAGTATGCAAGGTCAGCAGGTTAAGGAAATAAAAAAATGTTTTTGAAATATTAGAGGTTTACAAAGTTAGGGTAATGATAACTCCTCTGTTTTCATTTATATCAATGATAATTTCTGTTTTTATCCATATCAAAGGGATTAAGGCAAGGGGATGGCACTCCTGATAACCCGTATGTTTTTGTGGAGATGGGACCAGATAGTATGACAGTGAACAGTATCTCTGCTGAAGTTGTGACCACAGACGAGAATGGTGTTCAAACAACCCATACATCTGAGACTGATAGCACAGGTATGTTATGTATTATTACACGCTGGTGAAATTGATGTTAATTGTGTTGTTGTCACACCTACAAGAGCTATTGGACGCTTATTGACCTTAAATTTTTTTACTCCACGCATCTGTGGGTTCAAATCCTGTCAGGAACATGAGAAAGGTCTCTTTCTAGCTTACTGAAGTTAGGTGGTTCTACTTGGGTTTCTTCTTATCTCTATATATTATGGAAGGACATATGAGGTTTCTTTCGACTATTTAATCCTTTTTTTTCATATTTTATAACGTGTTCCAAGAAACTTTTTTCAATGTTACAAAACTGTGTAGTGTAAAAACAAAGTTAGATTAAACAATTTTTATGGGCACAAACATATTTTTAAATAAAATCCATTTTTAGAAAGATTCTGATGAGTTTGTCATGTACTTTTTCTAATACAGCTGGGTCAGTTGGTACAACCAATGTCCCTGCCCCTCCCCAGACAGGAAGTCCGGCTACAGCACCACCTGATGGCCAGCAAGGGGCTGATCAAGGACAGGGAGGAATCTTGCCACCAAACTTTATACAGAGTCTTGTGCAACAGATTGTCAGTCAAACAGGTAAGTCCTGGGGTCCTGGCTATATATTATTTAATAAATATTATATTATTAAGAATTTATAAAGATGGCCACACATCATCAGAAGCTCACTTGCTTTATTGATTGCAGTAATACTATAGCTAGGAGAATTTAGTACCGATTGAGATTTAATCTAAGCCTAAAAGATATTATGACTACTGCTGTTCATACAGCATTCTTTATTATTTAGTTAAGCTATGTGGAGAAGTTGGCAAGTATTTGTAAAGAATAACATGTCAGTACTGATAAATTCAGGAACACTCCTAATTTATAATAGCTTGCTTAAATATTATTTAAAACTTCTACAAGCCAAAGATTAACATAAAGACTTAAAAAGTTTTTTATCTTACTGTATTTGATGTGTGCTATATGGAACTAATTCAAATAGATAAAAGTTTCATTTTTGATACAGCTGATTTCCTTATTTATGACATATATAAAGCTATTGTCAACATGTTGGTTTCATTTACATCTACTTTATTGCTGATAAATTGTCTTATTAAGGTCAAGGCCAACCACAAAGAATGCAAATCAATATAGGTCAAGGTCCCGCTGGTATGATGGGAATGTCTGCTCCAGGTATGCCAATGGGCATCAGATTAGGACCTCGTATTGTGCGACCTCCAGGTATGCAGAGGAACGAGTCTGGTACCCAGACTGCAGGAGCCAATGGGATACCAGCCAACAGTGGTACTCAAACCTTTGGTGAATATTATACTTACTATGTATAAATTTTGCGTATTACAATGATGATATCTTTGTTTTGAGTAAAAAGCCTTCTTGGTAGAATTTTTATGCTGTTAACTCTGGCATGCGTTCCAAAGTACAGTTGACTCTCAATAAGTCAAAATCGCTTTACTCAAAATTCCGCGTAAGTCGAAGAATTTCTAAAGTCCCGTCAAATTTCCTTCTTTATCTTTGTATTTTAACTCCGCTTAGGTCAAATTTTGACTTACCGAGACTCCTGTTTAGTCGAAAAGAAAATTTGGTCCCGTCAATTAAAGTCCAACATATTTTCATCTCAATTAGTCGAAGTGTGAAATCAGCCGACTGATCAAAGGTCGGCGACATCATGGTGTGATGTTGTCACTCGTGATTTACACGTTTCATAGTAATTATTTTTTAATTGCCGGTCATCATATGTATTATTAACACGTCGTATAAGTGGCTTTAATCCGTTTCAGCACTTAATTGGTTTTAACAGTTAGATAACTAAATTAAAATTTGATTACATTTCTTTAAGAACGTTGACTCCTGCCAGTCTGACGGGTGTTAGTCAAATAACAGCCTAGGTATTGATGTGTGTTACCAACGTAAATGACATTTGTATAATTAATGTTCCGTCATTTTGCATACATTTATTTGTACTTCCGGTTCATGATAGTTGCTACTTTCGTTTTCGTCCGATGATCAATTAAATCAAATATACATGTAATTGTGTGTATATGTTTCACTATTGATATACATGTATTAAATTTTAATAGATATATTTTTGTTCATTTATAATTTGTAGTTGTAAGTGATTTACCGTCATTTCAACGGTTAAATATTGCAGCATTGCAGCTAACAACAATAACAAACCTACTTCTTTGCACATTTAATCGGGCACATGCATATACATGTACGAATGTCAACGTAATGGCGGCAGTTCCACGTTTCTCGAATTCCATTTCTCTCGAAGTAAAATGCCCAGTCCCTTGGATTTCGAGTTACCGAGAGTCAACTGTATCTGATTATGCAATGGCAGTGCCAAATCCTTTATCTGTAAACTATTACTAGAATCTAGTATTTTAGAGTTTGTTTTAATTCAGTTTTAGTTTAGATGAATAAAGCATCTGGTGTAAAAAACAACAATCATTTTACTGTTAGTATTGAGAGTGTAACTACTTGGTGCTTTAATTTTGTAAACAGGCACACAATGTTGACACATCTTATATCATTTTAGCCACACCAACTAGTGCATCTGGTACCCAGACTTCTACTGGAGTATCAACACCTAGCAGTACATCGGGGACTCAGACACCAGGTGCCCCTCGTGCTGCAGCATTTGTCGTGCCCGGAATGCCAGGTCTAGCACAGAATATCAGCCCAGTGGACCAATATCTACCATGTTCATCCAGATATTTCCTATCACAACATGCTAGAGGTATCATCAATCAAACTGGTGGACCTCAGGTTTGTACTTAGTTATAAATTGATAAGATTTATTGTTGTAAGCCTTAATTTCTGGATTATAACCTAATGAGTAAGCAGGTTTACTTCTATGCTTTAAGGAAGTGTTGAATAAGAATAAACTGTTCCTGGCCCCATAACTACTCTATGTTCAAGGGTTTTCAGTAATTATTTATAACAAAGTTACTTTTATTGAGAGTTTAAAAAGGTTGTGTAGCTCATCTGTAAAGTTTATTTATTATTCATTGTTTTATAAAAAATACATTTCTGTAAGAGGTTTCAGTTAAATCAGTATTCCCTATTAAGTCTTTATTTCTATATCTCAGTCAGATTGGCCTCTATAATGATAGAATTATGCCACCAGTATATTAAGAGCCTTGTCCCATTGAATGAAGTCTAGGCTTAATGAGCCTCATTTCTGCTGTCAGCTAAGGCTCCCACATTTACAATTTTTTGTAAACGTTTACACGATTGCTAAGAACGGAAACGATACCGTTTAAACCTTGGTACCTTTATGTACTATATACACCATGTATTTGAGTCGCTAAATGATGATTTACTTTCTATTTTTAATACATGTACAAATAAAGAATGTGCAGGGCTCATCACGATTGAGTCAGCACACATTTTCCAAAAATGTATTATGTCACGAGCAATTTTGCACGGTAAAGCTGTGTGAAGGGCTGTAAACATCCATTTTCCGTTTTTTACTTTGAAATAAACCACAAGAATTGATAAAATCCATGATTACCGGCAATGATTAAGAAATTTTGTAAGATAATATGGTCATTTCGATTAAACGGTAAAAAATATGGTAAACGTTTTCGAATGAAAATCGAAACGAATCCGTTTAAACGTGTAATCGTGGGGGCCTTACTGTCAGCCTAGTTTCTATACTATTGACTATTCAATTTTAATACTTTGAATTTGATATCCCTACTGTCCCTAATCCATTACAGAACAAGTCTGTTACATAAATACAGTAGAATATGAGGTTAACTATTAATATTTACATTTTGTGGACTCAGTATGAAAAGCTTGTTTTTTGAAACTTACGTTATAGAACACAGAAACAGCATTGGCTGACATGGTGAGCAATTTGATGTCCGGTCTCATAGGGGGACCTCAACCATCAGGTGCCCAAGCATCAGGAACTGCCACACCCACAACTGCCACAGGTAATTTGATAATGATGTTAAATCTGTTTTGGTAGAATTTGAAATTAGTAGATTTTAGGTTACTTGCTGAACCCTCACATATAACTCTGTAGTGAAGTCAACTTTTGGAAATATCAGTTTTGGTTCAAGACAGCAAGACATGTGTTTACATGTGGAAATAAGATAAAAACTAAAAATAAACCATATGCTTTGGTTGTAAGTATGTGTACATATTTCATAATTCAATTAAATGATTTTGATAAGTTTTAAGTCATTTGTGCAAAATTGTTTCAAACAATTGAATATTTGGGAATAATTGTTAGGTAATTGCCATCTAAAACATTGTTACAATATGACAGTCAGACCATTTAAAGGAAAGAAAACAATGTCAGAGGTTCTATTAGTTGTATGCTCATTACAGACATAATTTGTGACAAGCGATCTCCACTATTAAGTCTAATTCAGAAATTCATGTTGGATTAGTAGTCAGTCACTTTTGGAGAAATTAGTAATTATTGGTTAGTTAATAAGGAAAGCCTTTTGGTTAGACTGACAGCCGAGATATGTCCAAAATGTGATAAAATTAGCTTAAAAAAACAACAACAGAAAAACAAACTAATGCATGGAAGGACAACTTATGTAATCCTGTAAAGTTGCCATATAACCCTGACATTGACTTATTCTCTTTAATACACCACCATTTATATGGCAAAATCAATGCATGAATTATATTTGTTCTTACTTCAGGAACTCCAGCATCTTCTACAACAGGAAGTGACCCAAGACCTACTGGGATTCGTATCGGCGCTCCTGGTGCCACATTCCAGCTTGGTGGAATGCCAGGGTTCCCTGTTGGGTTGGGTGGTATGTTTCGTGGTCAGATGCCATTCATGCAAGGTATTCATGCTAGAGTTTAATCATGTTTCATGTAAAAACAACCGGCTTGTAAAGAGAGTGATTAGTTTAAGCCACCAATATACAGTGCAGTCTGGACAGGCTCTATATTGCTGGATGACTAACTCAAAATTTTCATTTAGATATGCCCAAAATTGGTAAATTGGAAATTGCGGAAAATGAAAGCTGAAGTTAATGACAGAATTCAGCGAGTTAAAGTTTAAGATAGATGTGACATTACATAGTTTTGTAAAATTTATAAAGTTTAAAAGAAATAAAATACTTCTGAACAAAATAATCATGAGAAAAGGATTCTCATAACTTCATGAATTTATTTATATCAATTTCAATTTTGTTTTGTTAGTAGAATGAAGTTTGTTGTTGAAGAATATTGAATTGCTGCTTCATACGATATAGATCTTGAATTATATGTGTTGTAATACAGTTTTTAATAAAAATATATAAAAAAATGAAAATTTTAATTTTTGCAGGAATGAGATTCAGGGTTGGAACTCCAAGACAGAATATGCCAGGTGCAAGACCACAACAAGCCCAGCAAGCCTCAAACACAACAGGTACACCTGGACAGGGGTCAACACCAGCAACAAGTGGGACACAAGGGAGCACAGGGGGTTCTGAACCTCAGTTTGTACAGATGTTGAGAACAATGTTGTCTTCTGCTGTAAGTAGAAATATAATGGAATCATTTTGAATGATTAAGGAAATTACTTTAATATATTTCAAATTTAATCTGGCCAATGTTCACAAAGTACTTAATTGCAGACGTGCGATAAAATCTTTACAGTTACAGGTTTCAGCATTGTACTTAATGAAGTGATGTGGCCGAGTGGTTAGTCATTGACTTCAAACCACTTGCCCCTCACCACCATGAGTTAGAATCTTGATAGGAACGTTGGATCCTTTCATGTGAGGAAACTATATTAATTTATTTTTCAAGGGTCAGCAGCAAGGTCAACAACCTGGTAACCAGTCCAGTAATGCCACTACTACTGGCTCTCAGCAACAGACTGGTACCCAATCAGCAGGAGCTATCAGTGATGAAGCTTTCACACAGCTTGTCAGTGGTATAACAGGTTACATGTCACAAGCAGCCGTGGGCCAGGCACCAAGACAAACAATAGCAGAATTCTTGTCAGATTTAGGACAAAACTATGGAATTCCACAAGGGGAAGGTTGGTATATTTATTTTCTAACAGCAAAATAACACAATTTTTTTTTCTTTTCAGTATTTGCATTAATCTTGATTAATGAATTGTGAACTTTTCCAATATTGAACTCCAGCAAAGTAACTCAATTGTAAAACTTTGGCCATAATATTCTCTGAGTGTACAAGTAAGCTTTTTTAGGATCTTGAGTCTGAAGTATGATATAATGAGGTTTGTATACATTGTTGAGGACAATGCTTAATTCTATCAGACTACTACACATCTATTAAACTATTTTGGTGGAGTGCTTATCAAGTCCAATATAGGTTTTGCAGCTGTGTAAGAACCAGTAGAATCAGTATTGTACATAATAAAATGTGATTACCTCTTCATTTCACACCACCATTTTTTTTCAGCATTTTAAGTGAACCTTGTTCATATGAAAAAAAAAGTTCTTTGCAGATGAAATTCAGTCCTGGGTTTTTAGGCACTTTGTGAAATAGAATTTAAAAAAAATTATTTTGAATGATGTAAAACTTTTGATAACAATGTGTTTTTTTATGGACTTGGAAAATGAGAACAAAGCTAAATGGATTTAATTTTGATATTTTTAAACTCAAAAAATGAAAATGAGGCATTGGATCCTATAATATTTTTTTTTATTGAAAGATGTCATGTTGTAAATGTTAGAAGGTGATAATTGGTTACATTTTGTAATGTAAACATAAATAATTAATATTTTTATATTGCAGGTTTCATCAATGACATAATGTCTTGTATTTTGTCTCATCTCCAAATCACTGACTTGATTTCTGTGTTCTATGGGTCACCAGCACCACTTAACCAGGTTCAGCGACCCTTGAGAGAGTTTATCTCAACAAGAGTTCTGAATGACTTGACACCATGCCCAGAAAATATACGCACATCTGTAGAAGAACTGGTAGAATCAATGCAGACTGAAATACAAGAAACTGTGGTAAAATATTTACTCTGCTATTCAAATGTTAGAGAACATATGTGGGAGGCATATGTTTTTATGACAAAAACCCCTTCTAGTTTTTTTGGGTGTGTTTTTTTTTTTAGCTCACCTGTCACTTTGTGACAGGGTGAGCTTTTGTGATCACTTTTCGTCCGGCGTCCGTCCGGCGTCCGTAAACTTTTACTTTAAATGACATCTCCTCATAAACCACTAAGCCAATTTCATCCAAACTTCACAGGAATGTTCCTTTGGTGGTCACCTTTGAAAATTGTTCCCATGCAGAACTCTGGTTGCCATGGCAACCAAAAGAAAAAACTTTAAATATCTTCTTCTAAAAAACCCAAAGAGCTAGAGCTTAGATATTTGGCATGAAACATCTTCTAGTGAGTGTCTACCAAGATTGTTCAAATAAAAGCCCTGGGGTCAAAATTGGCCCCGCCCCAGGGGGTCTTTGATTTTCCCTATATGAATATAGTAAAAACTTAAAAATCTTCTTTTAAAGAACCCAAAGAGCTAGAGCTAAGATATTTAGCATGACACATCTTCTAATGGGTGTCTACTAAGTTTGTTCAAATAAAAGCCCTAGGGTCAAAATTGGCCCCGCCCCAGGGGGTCATTGATTTTTCCTATATGCATATAGTAAAAACTTAAAAATCTTCTTTTAAAGAACACAAAGAGCTAGAGCTGAGATATTCAGCATAAAACATGTTCTAATGGATGTCTACCAAGCTTTTTCAAATAAGAGCCCTGGGGTCAAAATTGGCCCCGCCCCAGGGGGTCATTGATTTTTCCTATATGAATATAGTAAAAACTTAAACATTTTCTTTTAAAGAACCCAAAGAGCTAGAGCTAAGATATTTAGCATGAAACATGTTCTAATGGATATCTACCAAGTTTGTTCAAATAAGAGCCCTGGGGTCAAAATCGGCCCCGCCCCGGGGGACATTGATTTCCTTATTTGTGTATAGCAAAAACTTAAAAATCTTCTCCGAAAAACCCTGAATAGCTAGAGTTTAGATATTAAGCATGAAACATCTTCTAGTAAGTGTCTACAAAGATTGTTCAAATAAAAGCCCTGGGGTAAAAACTGGCCCAGGCCCCAGGAGTGTCATTGTTTTTAAATATATGTGTAAAGAAAATTTAAAAAAAAAAATTTTATTTTAAAAAACCCAATGAGCTAGACCTTAGATGTTTAGCATGAAACATCTTCTAATTGATGTCTACCAATTTTGTTCAAATAAAAGCCCTGGGGTTTAAACTGGCCCTGCTCCGGGGGGCCTATATACAGGTGAGCGACTTCAGGGCCATCATGGCCCTCTTGTTAATTTTTACACATGTCATGAACAAAACATTGATATCAACTAAAAGTTAGAATTTGAATACAAAATACACAAGAAAGTATAAATTTTAATTTACCCCCTCCCCCACAGGCCTTTTTAAGTAAGTTAAGAATGTCCATGCCTTATATCCTCTTGGAGTTTTCGCTTATCCGGTAAGGTTTCCCTTCCCGACCATGTCCGGTTTTTACTATATCTAAAAAGCTATGACACAGTCAAGCCTCTAATAGAAATTCTTTTCTTGAAATGATTATTTATCTAAATATATTTGTTTTCAGAATTCAACACAACCAAGACCACTTTCTTGATATGATTATTTATCTAAATATATTTGTTTTCAGAATTCAACAGAAGCAAGACCACTTTCTTGATATGATTATTTATCTAAATATATTTGTTTTCAGAATTCAACACAACCAAGACCACTTTCTTGATATGATTATTTATCTAAATATATTTGTTTTCAGAATTCAACACAACCAAGACCACTTTCTTGATATGAATATTTATTTAATATATTTGTTTTCAGAATTCAACACAACCAAGACCACTTTCTTGATATGATTATTTATCTAAATATATTTGTTTTTAATTCAACACAACCAGGACCACTTTCTTGATATGATTATTTATCTAAATATATTTGTTTTTAGAATTCAACAGAACCAAGACCACTTTCTTGATATGATTATTTATCTAAATATATTTGTTTTCAGAATTCAACACAACCAAGACCACTTTCTTGATATGATTATTTATCTAAATATATTTGTTTTAATTCAACACAACCAAGACCACATTCTTGATATGATTATTTATCTTAATATATTTGTTTTCAGAATTCAACACAACCAAGACCACTTTCTTCATATGATTATTTATCTAAATATATTTGTTTTAATTCAACACAACCAAGACCACATTCTTGATATGATTATTTATCTTAATATATTTGTTTTCAGAATTCAACACAACCAAGACCACTTTCTTCATATGATTATTTATCTAAATATATTTGTTTTTAATTCAACACAACCAAGACCACTTTCTTGATATGATTATTTATCTAAATATATTTGTTTTAATTCAACACAACCAAGACCACATTCTTGATATGATTATTTATCTTAATATATTTGTTTTCAGAATTCAACACAACCAAGACCACACATTGACTTTCTAGCAACACTGAATCATTTCTTGAATCAGCAATTTTACAATGTTGTCTCACTTATAATGAATGCTAGAGGTAAGATTAAAACACCTTTACAATTTGCTGTGTTTGTTCATGTTGTATAATAGATGCCTCAAGTGTTATAATTTAATGTAAATTGACTGACTGGCTATCCAGTTTGCTACACTAGGATAATACATAGTCAGTGGTTAACAAGGAACATGGTTTTGTTTGTGAGCAGTTGACCTAGAAGACGGTGCTAAATTGTTCACTGCTAAAAACTGGAAAACTCCATTATCACAGATCCAATGGTTATTGATTTTGGCAACACATTTAGAAGGAAGTTTATGATTTTATGATTTGGTGGATAGTGAAAAAAAGTTACTCTCTGATTTGTTATCCTGATAATTATTGATAATTGTCATGATAAGATTGTAGGATTGTTTTTGATAGAGAACTGTAGGTTATTGGCTTGGTAAACTGGGCCACATGCCTTCTTCATTAAAATGTTGTACTTGTAAAAATGATTTCTATAGTTGATTGGAGCTTCTTATGTTGGCAACAGTTTGCTTGATCATCTGACCTTTTACTTTTGGCATAAATCTCTTGGCCTAATATGCCCAAGATATGCTTTATTTTTTATTCCCGCAAAATGTTCTGTTTTTAGCTCACCTGTCACAAAGTGACAGGATGAGCTTTTGTGATCGCTTTTCGTCCGGCGTCCATCCGTCCGTCGTCCGTCCGTAAACTTTTACTTTAAATGACATCTCCTCATAAACCACTAAGCCAATTTCATCCAAACTTCACAGGAATGTTCCTTTGGTGGTCACCTTTAAAAATTGTTCAAAGAATTTAATTCCATGCAGAACTCTGGTTGCCATGGCAACCGAAAGAAAAAACTTTAAATATCTTCTTTTAAAAAACCCTAAGAGCTAGAGCTTAGATATTTGGCATGAAACATCTTCTAGTGAGTGTCTACCAAGTTTGTTCAAATAAAATTCCTGGGGTCAAAATTGGCCCCGCCCCAGGGGGTCATTGATTTTCCCTATATGCATATAGTAAAATCTTAAAAAATCTTCTTTTAAAGAACCCAAAGAGCTAGAGCTAAGATATTCAGCATGAAACATCTTCTAATGAGTGTCTACCAAGTTTGTTCAAATAAAAGCCCTGGGGTCAAAATTGGCCCCGCCCCAGGGGGTCATTGATTTTCCCTATATGCATATAGTAAAAACTTAAAAAATCTTCTTTTAAAGAACTCAAAGAGCTAGAGCTAAGATATTCAGCATGAAACATCTTCTAATGGTTGTCTACCAAGTTTGTTCAAATAAAAGCCCTGGGGTCAAAATTGGCCCCGCCCCGGGGGGGCTCATTGATTTTCCTTATATGTGTATAGCAAAAACTTAAATAATCTTCTTTGAAAAAAACCAAATAGCTAGAGTTTAGATATTAAGCATGAAACATCTTCTAGTGAGTGTCTACAAAGTTTGTTCAAATAAAAGCCCTGGGGTCAAAATTGGCCCCGCCCCGGGGGGTCATTGATTTTGCCTACATGCATATAGTAAAAACTTAAAAAAATTTCTTTGAAAAAACCCATAGCTAGAGTTTAGATATTAAGCATGAAACATCTTGTAGTAAGTGTCTACAAAGTTTGTTCAAATAAAAGCCCTGGGGTCAAAACTGGCCCCACCCCAGGGATGTCATTGTTTTTAACTATATGTGTGTAGTAAAAACTTAAAAATCTTCTTTTAAAAAACCCAATGAGCTAGAGCTTAGATGTTTAGCATGAAATATCTGCTTATGGATGTCTACCAAGTTTGTTCAAATAAAAGCCCTGGGGCTTAAACTGGCCCCGCTCCGGGGGGCTATATACAGGTGAGCGACCTCAGGGCCATCATAGCCCTCTTGTTTGATGTTCTGTTGTAGTTTCCAAAAAGTAATTCATTTCTGACTCTACTGGAGACATAAGTCTTCTATATGAATCACTTGTGCTTGTAGGGTTAAATTTTAGCAATGTTATCATTTGTTTTTATAGATGGGGATGTACATTTTGGCCAGGATCTGTATGCATGTGTAAGGAGATTGTTGTCTGAGTTGTTTATACTGAGCAGCAGATGTCTAGGGGGAATGCAGAATGTTGAACGTATGGTCTCACAAAGATTGGTAATACATTTTATTTATGTTAAACTTGTATGTCTGTTGCTTTTGAAGTTGCAACTTTAAAGTCTGAAGAAAAAGATTTTTTTGTATGAAACAAAAGAGCTTACTTAGCTTGTTAATTTTGAATTCCATGAGTTTGAGGCATGCAAAAAAGTCTTTGAAAAACTAAGTCAATAATTTAACAAGATGTACATGTATTTAAAGAAATAATATAATTATTATGAATAATGAAATTAGGTTAAACAAATTTTTTTATTTGTAATCTATTCATTTACATAAGAAAGTACTTGAAAATAAATTTTATAAATTAAGAAGGAAGCTTGAAAAGCTTCTTGTTTTGAAAAAATTCTCTACATTGGAAACTCTCTTTGTGAGTTATAAAATTAAGTTGAAAAAAGGGATCAATTTTGAAATATTATTGAATTGTAAAAATCTTTTTATTTCTTTGTTTAGTGCCATTTCTGTTATCATGTATGGCAATTCCTTTATTTTTCAGCAATCATTAACTACAGGTGTAAACCCATTTATACAAGATTGGATGGCAGCCATGACAAACCGTCAGATCAGTCAGTTCATTCCAACAATTATTGTAACTGAAGGTGAAATCTCACATTATCTTGTATATAAAGAGGTTGGGCAACCGTCTGCTGGAGCCTCGTCATCACAAGCCGCAAAGAAAACTAGCGAGGTGAAAAAAACTGCTTCAAAGTCATCTACTCCATCGTCTGGGTCAGGGTCGAAGAGAGATTCATCACCTATAAGGGCACCTTCACCTAAAAGGGTTAGTGTTCCATCACGCCAGGAGAAAAGGAAAAGAGAAGTGGAACCAATGGAGACAAGTTCACCCGTGTCTTCGTCACCTGGAGCGTCAGCTGTAAGTCAACAAACAATGATTAGATTTGATTTAAAATTTGAATGCTTTTTAGCTCACCTGAGGTAGCTCAGGGTGAGCTTTTAGGATCGTTTAATGTCCGTTGTCCGTCCACATTTGTTCGTTAACGCTCTAGAGGTCACATTTTTGCCTCAATCATCATCAAACTTGGTCAGGATGCTTGTCTAGGTAATTGCTTGGACGTGGTCAAAATGGGTCATTTTAGATGTTAAACTAGGTCATGAGCTAAAAATAGAAAATGTTGTTAACTTGGTCAAGATGTTTGTCTAAGTAATTGCTCGGTTGAGTCAGGTGAGCATTGTAGGGCCATCTTGGCCCTCTTGATTGTTATTTTTGCTCACTTCAGATCATTTGCTCGGGATATTGATTCATTTTTCTTCCATTTATTGACTTTCTTTAAGCTTTTTGGTTCTTCTAAGGTGCATTGTTAATAACCTGACAAGTTTGTTGCCTATTTACTGGTATCTTGGAACATGTTTGATGGTACCTTTATGTTAATTTTCTTTTGTTGTTTGTTACATGTTTATAGACTGAATTTTATGATTATTTGAAAATATTTCAGATTGAAGTTGACAACCAAAGGACACCTCCTGTGAGTGAAGTGAAAGGAGCAGCATCAGCAAATGGTAACAGTAAGCCTCCAGCTCCAGCTGAAAATCATCCATCCCCATCAGGGGCACAGACTGTTAATGGAGACTGGCAATCTGTTGTTCCACCTGTAAGTATCAGAAATGTGCAGGAATATTGATTATTGAAAACCAGTCTGATATACTGGACTGGCAATCTGAGTAAAACTTCCATTAAGTGTTAGAAATGAGTAATGTAGAGAACTAGTCGTTGTATTATAGACTGGACATCCATTTTACTCCTGAAAATAACAGAAAAAAGGCAATTTTTGATGTACTGATTATCAGAGTACTAATAATTTGTCAAGCTTTAGGTTTATAAAATAATGTATGTTTAAACTCTTCTGAAACTTGTTTACTTTTAGATACATCATTTTCAAACAGCCATTTTTGATTGCCAGAGATTCTGGGTAATGAAAATTAGCTAAGTGATATATATGTCTCCATGGCTGACATCTTGGATTTTTAACAGTTGCTAACTACCCTTTAACTACAGATTAATTATGGGTGTACTGTAGACTTAAAATCCTATTAGTCGGAATAATATGTCAACAAATTGCAGAAAAATTACATTTTTACAGAGTCATGTCCCTTTTCTTACTGAACAGTTGAGCACCAAGTCTAACAAATAGCTCCAATAAGTTTGTTATTTGAAAGCCCTATGAACAGATAATGAACATTTCTAAATTCAAAGGACAATCAGGAAAGTTTTTTGAAATATATATTATATTTCAGGAATGGGTAGAAGTTATAACACAAGATATAGAAAAACAGAGGAACCAACCTCAACAACGGCCACATAGTGATGTTTATCTTCAAGGAGTGCCACCAAAAAGAAGACGGGTAAATATTGCATTTTTAGTTAGATTGTAATTGAGCTTCTTTGAGTTTTAATTCAATGACAGTTTAAACAAAATCTTTATAAAGAAAAGATCTCTGTACATTTCCTGACCAGTGAGACCCAGTCTATATTTTGGAAATGATGAAATAGCCAAGAATTGTTCTTTATCAAGGTTAATAATTTGATCTACATGTGTGATTGGTATTTAATCAACACATATTGTGATATCAGATAGTAAATTTTTTTAACTCGACATAGTCAACAAGAGTTACTTCCCTTAGGTGAGCTAATAAACTCTGCATTGTTAAAGGAAACTGTGCAACCATTCACTAAATCATATTACATAATTATGCATATACATCTTAACATTGTTTCGATACTAAATTATATTGGTTTTATCATACAAGTATAGTTGTTTTACTTTAACCTTCCTTGATGGATATTTATTATTGGTTTTATCATACAAGTATAATTGTTTTGCTTTAACCTTTCTTGATAGATAGTTTTTATTGGTTTTATCATACAAATATAATTGTTTTACTTTTAACCTTCCTTGATAGATAGTTATTATTGGTTTTATCATACATATATAATTGTTTTACTTTAACCTTCCTTGATAGATATTTATTATTGGTTTTATCATACAAATATAATTGTTTTACTTTAACCTTCCTTGATAGATGGTTATTATTGGTTTTATCATACAAGTATAATTGTTTTACTTTAACCTTCCTTGATAGATAGTTATCATTGGTTTTATCATACAAATATAATTGTTTTACTTTAACTTTCTGTGATAGATGATGACACAGGATAGACCTGGAGATTTATCAAACACAAGTGAAGTTCTACCCGAGTCTATACGTCGAGCAGTGGCGGCTGCAGCGGTTGAACCAATCAGCAGCCTGGAAAATCTTTCGTCAGAAGTGACCAATGACACTGATTTACAACAAGCCTTTGAGACAAATTTAAGCAATACACTGTCACAAAGAGTTAACAATGACAAAGACTTTAAACCTGAAAGGTTTCCAAATACAGAAGAATATTTCCATAAAGGTTCTGATAAGAAGAAATGAAGGAAAAACTAGGAATGTTACAAATTTTAAGATATTTCTGCAGTGGGTGAATATAGTTGATAATTGATGAGAGTTTTATTTGAAGAGAGATCTTTTTTTCATTCAATTCAATTTTGGAAAGTTTACTATTAAATTATAAGTATATAATTGTCAATATTTCAAGGTGACTGGATGAGAATTGGATAAAAGTAAACTACATTTGGAGAGATTTGTTTTAACATCTTATAAATCATACATACTCTCTGACATTTGTAAGAAACATGGAGTGTCTTGAGAATAGATAGATCAGCTGTTTTGTAAGGCTTATTTGAGACAAAGTGTTTTTCATTTGCTCAGAAATAATTGGGCATTTATTCCTTAAGTTACTAATGTTTTATGATATTTCACTGTATAAATATTGTATTTTACGCTGTTTTATAAATAGAGGTCATTTTATTGTCATAGACAAAGAATTGTGTCAATTATAACCTACATCTAGATAGGTTACTTATCATAGGATATAAATTATTACTCTACCCCTCTATCGAACATTTCCTCTATCATAAATCTCTTGTTATAATAAATCCCTTCTATGATAAACTCCTCTATGATAAACTCCTCTATGATGAACCTATCTATTATAAACCCCATCCATTTTCCTATGAGTTTATTTTAAGAAATCTTTTAAATATTTTTAGATCTCCTGCTATTAATGTATAATTCTATTTAGACCATTTACTCTCAAAATAAGAGTTGTTGTTGAATAAGTCAACTTATGCGTAGGCTGGTTAAGTGTATGGAACATGTTCTGAAGGCTGTAAATTAATCAATAACATGCCCTTCTACTTGATTTTTAATTAACCAATGAATGATATTGGACAGATCTTCCACATTGCCAGCAAATTCAAAAGAAAAATAGAGGACTCGACAAAGAGTTTTTTCAGTCGACTTAATTGTAAGATCTGTACTGACTATTTGAACATAATTAAAAGTATGGGTACAGTTTGTAATGTGATGATTTAGTGATTGGCAATGTTAATTATGAAGATTTCCTCTAGGTTATATGAAGATTTTCACTGGGTTTTATGAAGATTTTCACTAAATTATATGAAGACTTTCATTAAGTTATATTAAGATTTTCATAAAGTTATATGAAAATTTTCACTGGGTTATATGAAGATTTCCACTAGGTTATATGAAGATTTCCACTATGTCATATAAAGATTTTCACTAGGTTATATGAAGACATTCACTAAGATATATGAAGATTTCCACTAAGTTATATGAAGATTTTCATTGGGTAATATGAATATTATCACTAGGTTACATGACCCTTTATAAATTGATGTCAGCTTGAATATTATTAATATTCATACCCAAATTTTGTAGGCAACTTGACCTGATATTTTCCAAGTTTTTTTCTGTCATGCCTCTGTAGCGCTGATCATATGCAAGGACTGAAGTTTTATTATTGAACACACATAATGCAAAATCGAAGTTTATTTTCTTGAGGGGGACATGTATTAGATTAAGAAAACAGTTGTAAAATAAAAATGGTTATTGATTTTAATTCTTTGATATCTAGAAGGAAAAGATGATGTCAACATCAGTATTTTAGGCCATAAAGAAAAAATCTTCTGATCCCTTATTTTCAATAGTTGTAAAACTAACCTTGAATGACATTGTGCGTAGTGATCCACAAAAATGTGGTGATGATTCACTAAGTTTTTCAAGGAACATGACAAAATGTTTGTATTTCATTTATAGTACTACATGTATAGAACAAATTGGGTTTTTATTGAAATGGATAAAAAATGTAACATTTAGTGTTCACACTTATTTTTGTTTATTGAATATGGACTTATTTATTGTTTAATTACATTGTTAAAATGTGGTTTAAAGAAGAGATTTATTCTCTGTGAAGATAGCCACAATATTGACTTACTTACTGTAAGTCATTATTATAGAGCAAGGCCAATCTGCTTACCTCAGCAATCTGGCTAGACTCTATTGCTGACTTGCCTATATATAAGGAATTAAAATGTCACATCCCTAGTGTCAGTTTAACCCTGAACCTGCTTTATATGTTAAATGGACTTGTCTAGTTTCCATTTTTGGAACTGCCCATTATCAAATTTGGGGATATTAAGATGAAAATGTTCAGTTAGTCAGCCAACAGTATAGAGCCTGCTTACACTGACTGCTCAGACTGGCCTGGCTCTATACTTGTGGGAAAGGATAATCACTTCTTGTTGAAAGTGTAAAAATATATCAATTTTCACTGCTTAAGTGACAGTTTTGTATGTTTTATGCAAAATATGAATGTATTAGTGATTAATAGTACTAGTATCATAAGTATACACTTTTACTAAAGATAAAAGGACTACAACTGCATATTTTGGCAGGTTTTAGCCGGGGAAAATGAATATTTAGCTTTAATCATTTTATTCATTCACTTGACTAAAAATGTCTTTACCAGAACAATTAATATTTTGTTGTAGGAAAATAAGGATGCATCTTAAGGTACCAATGGACATCAGGACATGTCTGGTATACAACTATAGAATGGAGCGGGTTAAACTGACAATGATATTTTTCTTTTATTTAAAATGTTCAATGAAATAAATATAAAAATGTTCAAATTACTACATGTATTACCTCAATATCTGTGACTCATTTTATCACCATAGCAACATATTACATGTGTATATCCTTAATTACAGGAGCTTGATATTCTGTCAATAAATAAGAAATAATGTCAAATGTATACAACCTGTACAATAAAATAAATAAATAAGCATAAGGAATACAATATATTTGATGTTATATTATTATTTATTGACAGACTATAACGTTCCTGTGGTTTAATACTCTTTTATAACAATTGAATTTTTAGTCTTAAATAATAACATGCCATTTTTGAGAATAGTAAAACTGTGTGTATATATTGTATGTGTTGAACATATTTGTAAAACAAGCACACAAGATTATAGACATAAATATTCTTTGTGGAAAATACTGTAACTTTTATTCAGTGAAACAAGAAACTCATTCCTTACCAGACATACAAACACAGCAACTTGTTCATATGTACTTGTTTATTGTGACAGACATATAGCTAAAATACTGTTTATGTACCTCTTAACCTGACCTATCAATAAAGTTTTGTTAAATATTAACTTTATCAGATGAAATCAGCTAGTTCAAATGAAATTTGATTGTCTGATTCAAATTTTGTAATAAAAATACATGGTCATTCTGCAAGTGTTGTTGTTTTTACTTCCATTTACATGACAAAGGCCACCTCAAGTTTAAAACCACCCATAATTAATCAAAGTTTTAAATATGATCTTCCTCCAATTAAAAGACCATCTCAAGATATACACCACTTCCGATTAAAGGCCATCTTCAAAATTTTATAGACTATTTTAAATACAGATCAACTTTCTCAAATATTACATTGACCACTTCAAATACCATTTGAAAATATATACCTCTTAATTGAATGATGACCTCTAAACAAACACCACCTGAGTAAAGACCATCTTTAGAAATTTTATACTTGTGATAAAATAACAAAATCGTGATGGTATGACAAATCTTTGTAGAGGTGTGTAAGTATGACAAGGATGCTGTACCTGCATGATAATTGTGTATTTATTACGGTTTTCTAGCCAAATATATTCACAGCATTTCATTATAAAAGCTGATGTTTATGTGTTAGTTATCAATGTAAATGCAACTATAAATAAATTTCGCGTTCAAGCTGATTATAATCAAAAATGGAAGAGTGACTTACATAGAAAGCCAGATTGACTTAATTCGATTTTTTAATGTAAGAAAAATAATTTTAAGTATCTTTTTAACGTCGTGTAACTTACTTTATAATGATAACGTAACTGTTAGCACGTGTACACAATATGTATTGCCGAACTAAAACCACCATTAATGTCTGGGTAGCTGTTGCAACAATTTGATTTATATCCTATTAAAATGCTTTTGTAAGTTTTTTTTTATGAAATGTCTTTGAACAACGTAAAGCATGTATGGATTTCGTGTAAGCATGAAGGTATTTTGCTTGATGAAAGTTGTAAAACGCCGATGGATGGTAAGTGTTTGTGTTTTCAGTTATTCCAAGCAATTTGGATCGGAAAAGGAAAACTCTTAAGTCTAAATGGTAATTAACATTTTGGTTTGCTAATCATAAATCTTTACACGTAATGTACCTGGTTAATCAGTCTTTTTGTCGCATGTCAGTCCAACATTTTTTAACCGAGGTCGATCATTGCTTTTAGCTAGAATATTGTCTGTTTATGAATCATGTATCTTAGCTGTCAAGATTTGAGGGAAAAATCTTTAAAAAAAACATAACGCGTGACAGTTTTAACAGAGAGAACAAATGTTGTATGTGCTCTAGTCTGGACCAGCAGAGCTGCATTGGACATTCTTATAATATATAAGGGTGTTTCAGAATTAATGTAATTTCACGAAAAAATCTCTAAAGTAACATTAAGTTTTAATTTGAAATCATTTCTCTGATAAAATTCAACGTTTCATCTACTTAGTGTGTGAATGTTAAAAGAAAAACATTGTAAATTGATAGCGTTATAACAGTTCGAATTAGGTTTATATTACACTACATATAATTATGATCATATAGAAATATTAACATTTCTCAAGATTACATTCAAACTGCAGATACTCCGGGAATAATAATTTAAATGTTTTCTGTGAAATACGTACATGATTTTTTAAGTCTTCATTTCAGACCTATGTATATGTTAGTGTTCATCCGTGCTGTTCTACAGAAATTAGAAACTTCGACGGGAGCGATAGCGACAAGAGAATGTTTCTAATTTCTGTAGAACAGCTAAGGATGAACACTAACATATTTAGTGTCAAGCTTTATTTGGCCCTTGATTACGTTACTACGCAGTACTATGAAGCACTATGAAAAATAGAAGGCGTCTATGAACGGATTTCAATATAGTATCGACTTTTTCTTCTTCTATGAAAATTAACGCACATATTTCTTAAGAAATACAGCGTTTTCATTGGATGACAAATAAAGCTGGACACTAATCAAATATAATGCTGTGATTATAGCAAGTTACTACATGAATTAATTTCTTGTTTTCATCAAATTGAACCCCAAAAATGGCCTTCTGTGGTATCCATCAGTATTTAATCAAGGAAATAATCAATGAAGTAATCGGAGAAAATGGGTGACATTACATGACGCTAGTTAGCTTTTCTCTCCGGCATAATATCCGCACTGGTTAATTTCATTTTGTTGACTGGTTAAATGAGATATACAAAAAACAGTAGGCAGTTGTTGCATGGTCAAACATTCTTAAAGACCCAGTATGCCACAGTCTTAAGAAATATTTTGTTTTGCTTTTTAAGACAGAGAAACACATTTGTGAAACAATTTGTCATAAAAGTAGTAAATATATACAAAGCAGTTTTTTGACTTAATTTCATTGCAAAGTACTAAACCACCGTAAAAGCAAAATTCTCTGATCGACTAAATTTTCTTGGAGACCATTAAGTGAATTTACAACTGTTCTAAATGATTTGTACTGAAACTGTATTATATACATGGTCCTGCTTTCAAAGTTATTGTTCAGACATTATATAAGCAATCGCATATTATCGCAAGTAGCGATAGAAAGTATGCCAAACATTTCTTTGTACATTAGCAAAGCTTCGTCGCAGAAGACAAGACTCATTTCAGACTCGTTAGTGGAAAACGAAGATCGAGCATCAGATTAAACACGCGTCACTAATTTCTTTCCCCGTAAATGAAATTGTGTTATGCAGTAAGGCAGCCGGCTTTAATTGTTGTTTTTTAGTGTCTTTAGAGTATACCATTTGATTATTTACTTGCGCAATGGATCTTAAGATTGAAATGTGAAGGAAATGGTATATCCATGTCACGTCACGTCAGTCACGTGATATCACTCACTCACGTGACGACACTCATTCACTTACGCACGCACGAAAGAACGTACGCATGCACGCACCCTACCGATCGACTGACCAACCGACTCACTGACTACCTTACTTACTAACTGTCTGGTAATTAAAGGCTGAGAACTGTACATAGACCCCAGCATCACTCATATAAGTAGTATAGGGGCCGGTTTACACCCACGACTGCGCATGCGCGGCGCCATATTGGATTCTTATTTTAGAATGACATCATCGTTCTATTTTTAGAATGACATTATCTGTCTATTTTTAGAATGACATTATCGTTCTATTTTTAATCTCCCGGAAGTATACGGAGCTGACTTGTATACCCGATCTAGAGCGTGAATCGCGGACATTGAGGGTCAGGTCCTCGGGCCAAGACGGGGAGAAATAAAATTAGTATCCAACCATTTTAAAATTGAATGGCTAAAAAAAATAATGATTCCCTTTGTTTTTATATTCCCACACTGCGTACAGTGTACTTGACAACTGATTTAATTATTACTTTTAATCAATGTTCTCTATAATACAACGTTTAATTTAAAACTCAAATAACTAACATTTTTAAAAATGTATTTCTTCATATTTTAAATATACACCCTTAATACATAATTTATCTTATACATTTTTCAAATAAGGTTATTTAACATATTTTATTTTAAGTATTTTCTTTATAAACATTTTAATAAAATATTACCTCTTTTACTTCCTTAAGCTCCAGCAACGAAATGACTCCAATATTAAAAGTACTATCCCTTAATGCGCATGCTTGGATCTGATTGACGTCACCAATGCAATGAAACAAGCTCCAATCATGTTGCGCGTCTATTTATTTTAAGGCCGACTGGGCGGACAATTTCCAAAGTAAAAATGTCAAATTTGATTCTTTTAAAGTCGCCGCACTGGTCTGGCGTGTGTTTATTTAGGACGGATACATTTATCAATGGTCTATTCAAGTGCCAAGGCTAGCTTTGTTTACATTATTTGGCCGTGTGTTGATTTAAGAGCAGATGTGCGGAAAAAGGCTATTCAGGTGTCAAAATTAATACCATTCAGAATGTCAACGAAATGTCTGGCGTATGTTGATTTAAGAGCAGAATTGTTTGCGGACAATGGTCCATTCAACTGGTTAAAAATTAATCCCTTTAAAAGTCGCCACGCTGTTTGGCGTGGTGTTTATTTTAGGGACGAATACTTTTTAACAAAGGTTCATTTAACTGTCAAAATTAATTACCTTTAAAGTCGCCGCAATGGTTTGGCGTCTTGTTTTATTTAGGAAGAATACTTTTAATAATGGTCTATTCATGTGCCAAGGCTAGCTTGTTTTTAATTATTTGGCAAGTGTTGATTTAAGTTCGAAAGAGTTTAACAAAGGTCAATTTAAGTGTTAAAATGAATCTCTTAAAAAGTTGCCACTTGGTCTGGCGTATGTTTATTTAGGAACGGAAATGTGGACAATGCTCCCATTCAAAAATTTATCCGTCTAAAGTAAAAGCCAGGTTAGCAATAAGCTATTGAAGTGTCAGTTTACCACTGGGGCAAATAATTTTAAACTCATTTTGGAAAAGAAATGCCAACATGATTTTAAAAATGATTACCACGAATGTGCCAAATTATAAAAAAACACTAATTATCAATGGTCACTAAAAACCGAACAAAAAAACAACAGAAAAGGGCGGTTTTTTCGTCTTTTGTGCAACATTTTACGATATCCATTTTGATTTTTTTTTCGCAGAAATGGTAGAACCTGACAGAATGCTTCGAAATAAACCCAAGGTTCTCGATTCGATTTTTAGGCGTTCTCGAGTTATGGCCCTTTTTATCGATTTTTAAACTATTTTTCAAAGTCCAAAAACCCTTAGTATTTATATGCCGTTTGAAAGATCTCTGCGAGTTAGATACAGAAAATGTATTATTATATGGATCTATCTCTTACCGTTTTTGAGATAGGAGAGTTGAATATGGCAGACAAAATCACTCATGCATATAAATACGTATAACTTTTTTTGTTACTGGACATAACATCAGGCATGTTGCATAATCAAACGAAAGTCTTGACAATGCTACGAGCTTCGTACTGTTAAAACGCCGAGAGTGAAATCACTCATGCGTAAAAAAACATTAAAATGAACTAAAATAAGCTTTACCCCAGTCTTTACTCCTCGCCTATCAAACTATTTATGACAATTTACGCCAGGTTTAAACCGGTATTGCTATTTTTTGATCAGCCAATGAAATTGAAAAACGATGACGTCTAACAATAGACAGCCTCGTTTTTGAACC